TGCTATAAAGACACATGCACACGTATGTTTATTGCAGCACTATTCACAATAGCAAAGACTTGGAATCAACCCAAATGTCCATCAGTGATAGATTGGATTAAGCTTCCCTACTTTCCACCCCCTTGAGCCGTACCGGATTGGTGCTGCTGGTGAGATGCCTACCCATAAGCATCACTCCCAAGCGTTCGAGGGGGCACATTTCCCATAACTCCCAGAGAGCAAGTTTCTAGAAAGTTCCACCAGTGGGGAAGCACCACAACTTCACTGCCATTTTGTGAGGTGCTGCCACTGCTCCTCCGGCAAGGTCAGAACTTCAGGACTGTGAGTGGGGCAGTTTTTCCCTGGATGCTTTAATTTCTCCCCGGAAATTGTCCATTTTCCTCAGAAAGTGCCTTTTCTGAGGTGTTCTCTGTCGGGTGTGTGGTAGGGCTCCCTGGGAAAGTGGCTCCGCTCTAAGGACACTGCCATGGGCGCCTGTGTCAACTGTGGGGGGCGTTTTCCTTAGGCATCCCATCTCGACTATGTTGTGGGGCCGGGGGGGCATTTCTTGGGGGCTCCCTCATTGATGCAAGGGAGTTTTCCTGCTGAAATAACCTGAGCCCAGGGTTGGGGACCCTGCCTTGGTTGTCTGTGTCAGCCTCGGGTGTGGCAGTGTTTCTCGTTTCTTCCCCGCTCGGTCGCAGCCCTGAGGGGGGACTCAGCCTTGGGGACTCTATGTTCAGAGACTGGGGTGGTAGTGGCTGTGCCCTGGAGGCATGATCGCCACCCTGTGGGGTCACTCTCCGTCGCGGGCTTTATCTCAGCCTGCGAGGAACTCTTCCTTGGGTGCTGTTTTCGGCCGTGGGGAGCATTTGTTCTTGGATGTCGCTCGCTCTCAGGATGTGTTGGCTTTTCTTTGGTTCTGCTTATCCTTGATGGGGACGCTTACCAGACGCTTTCTCTTGGTGCTGGGTTTTTAAAATTATTATCTGTGGGTGCTCTCTCCTGGTGCCGCAGGGGAATGGGGTGCTGTTCCTTGGATTCTCTGAGCCTGTGGTGGGACTCGGGGAACTCTGTGTCAGCCATGAGGGCGCCCAGCTGACCTTGGGAACTCTGTCTCACTCCGGGGTTGAGTGCTTTTCCTTGGTTGGTTCTCAGTCCTGAGGGACCTCTTTCCCAGGGTTGTATCTGACCTTTCAGCCACAGCCTCGGATGTCTGTGCAGGAATCGGGGTCCAGAAATGTGTGAAGATTCCAGATTCACCACATGCACACAACTCACTGTGCAATTATTCTTTCATTCCAGTCATTCTGTGGGTGTGCAGTGATCTCTCCTTATGTCTACACTTGCAATTTTGTGCTGATTAATGAGATTGAGCACTTGTTTTAAAAAGTGTTTGTTTATTGATTTTTGATAGTTTTTTGGGATGAGGTCAGGCTGGAGTGCAGTGGTGTGATCTTGGCTCACTGCAACCTCGACCTCCCAGGCTCGCTCGATTCTCGTGCCTCAGTAGCTGGGACAACAAGCGCATGCCACCAAGCCTGGCTAATCTTTGTATTTTTTGGTAGAAACAAGGTTTCCCCAAATTGCCCAGGCTGGTCTCGAACTCCAGGACTCAAGTGATCTGCCCAATTCGGCCTCCCAAAGTGCTAGGATTACAGGCGTGAGCCACCGTGCCCAGCTATTTATTGATTTTTTTCGAAGCACTATTTTATGTGTTTATTGGTCATTTAACCATGTCTTTTAGGAGGTTCCTTTTCAGGTCTTTTCTGCCAAATTTTTTTGAGGTATTTGTATTTTAAAAATGGATTTGTAGTTTACATATATTCTGGGTTTCAGTTATACACATATGCACACAGGCATATATGAAAATACATATACAATTTTAATGTCTTCTACAAATCGGTTTTGCTTTTACACTATCTCAATAATGTGTTTTAGATGAACAGATTCTCTTAATCTTATTAATCAGACTATTGTTTATGGCTAGAAATTTCTATTATTTTAAGAGAAAACCCTTGTCTCCCCCAATGCCATGACGATAATATTCTAAGTTTTCTTCTAGATCTCCTATTCACCTCAAATAAATTTTCATGGAATGGAGTAAAGTCAGAGTCCGGGTATATTTTATGTGATTATTAAAGATATATTTGAGTATGACTCTTATGAAGTGCATATTCAGCTTTTCCCCCCAAATT